CTATATAGATAGACTTCTCATCCTTATTCCTCGTCTCGATCAATCAATATGTACTGTGAGTGTCGTAGTAGAGCAGCATCCTATTTGATATAGCCTTGCTGTTCTCACCCCCCCTCTGTAGATGGACGCCACGCCCGTAGAGGCGGGCTTCGCTCCCTTCTCTGCTTTGTTCCAGCCACAGGAAGCCCTATTCTTGCAGGAATAGGCCCGAGGAAACCCTATTCTTGCAGGAATCTTCCTGCAATGGGCCTCTAGTATAGAATAAATGGATATATGGTGACATGGGAGTTTATGGGCACATTTCTAGATTTTTCCCCCCTTTGGAAATTAGGAAACCAATTTAGGACCCATCCATTTATCTAATTTTCCGTGTGTGTGTCTAGACTTTTTTTTAAAGGAGATAATGGGGAAAGGCCAGAGCAGAGAAATGAAAATAAGGTAAAACCAGGCCTTTAGGGCGATCTGGAATAGAAAGGAAGGTTGAACCACAGAGGATGACAGCTAAAAAAGTTAATAAGAGAGAAGTTACATAGAATGTGATTACTGAGCCAATTCGGAAGACCTTTTTTCTTTAGGAGACCATAGAGTTCTTTGCCCACAACATGTCCATTATCAACTTCTGGCCATTAATAACAAGTCTGATTATTCTGAACTCTGGCTACCCCTTCAGCGTCTACTTATGGGTACATAGCAGCTACAAGAAATGTTTCAAGACCTGGGGGTAAGCCTTCCACCACATCCTTTTTCAAGCTTCAAGTCCTCCGAAACCTCACGTCCATTTGCTCAAAGTGCTGCTGAGTGCTGCTCCTTAAATTAGAAGTGATTTTAATCTCCATACAGCCTTAATCATGTAATTTAAGCAAAAAAACTTAGCAAGATTTCAAAAAGATATTTTTAACTTGATTTATGCAAATACTCTCTATGCCCAGTTTCACAGAATACTATAAACTAACAAACTCTCTCCTAATTAACTCCTTCTTCCAGGTTTAAAAGTAATGAACCCAAGTTGGCCAGGTACATATTTCCTCCTTCCTGGATTTAAGATAGAAGCTTTAATTTAACATAAACTCGAATGTAGTCACCTTGTGGTTTTCTCCCACCCCAACCAGAAAGGAAGAGGAGGTGATCGGTAAGTGCCAATGAGTGATTTTGGGAAGAAATTCTCCCCAGTGTTAACAGGAGGGGGTTGTTCTCATGGGATTGTGACTAAGCTTCCCATCTTTGGGTATCTGGAGGTTTCACCTGCAGATGATGGCAAGCAGCTGTCCTACATTGCTGGTGAGGGGCAGAGCAAAGGAAAGGAAATGAAACCCTAGGACTTTGGTTTAAATCGCAAACACTGACACCTATCTTTAGGGCTTTTTCCTTTCCCTGGAGGGAAGGAGTAGGGTCTCCTTCCTGGGAGGCCTTAGAGAGGAGTCAGGTTGTTTGGAAACACAGATGTACAAGATGCTCTGGCAAGCCCTTCCTAGTTCTATAATTCAATGATTTCTAAAAGGTTGTGGGTTCAATTCCCGATCAGGGCACATACCCAGCTTGCAGGCTCCATCTCAGGTTGGGGCTCTTGTGGGCAGCAGCCGATTAATGCTTCTCACATCAATGTTTCTCTCTCTCTCTCCCCGTCCCTCTCTCTCTTTCCCCCACCTTCCTCTCTATATAAATCAATAAAATAAAATAAAAAAATTATTCCACATTTGAGTTCTTTCCAAGGATCCCGAAAGGGAGCATGGTGCCACTCTCACCTGGCATCTGGCATTCTGCAAAGCAACCTCTGAGCTAGCAGCCTTTCAGTGCAGTTACTCTGTGGGAAGAGAAGGGGTGCTCCTCACCTTGCCTCCTCCCATCAGCATGGCTTCCCTTGGGTGCTGTTTCCCATCCACACAGGCAAGGGGGAACACTGGTCCCCTTCCATGTAACCCTTCTTTGCCTCCCCAGTTTTAGTACAAGTAACAGATAGTGAGTTGTTGAGACCAACCAACTAAGGATCATTAATGGGGTGATTTCACTCCTTCCGTGGTTTCCTGGGCCAGAGTCTAAAAATACACCCGACCTGAGGTGGGAGCTGAGATCATGAGCTCTCCCTGTGGTGGGAAGAGCAGTGAACCAGGGGAGCAGACACTTCGTTCTAGTCCTGGTTCAGAGCCTTGATACCTGTGTGCTCTCAAGAAAGTCCTGGAACTTCCCTGGGCCTCTGTTTCTTGATCCATAAAATGAAGGAGTCATTCCTACTGTAAATTGTCTTCCTGCTCTTTCGGAAGTACTACATCTCTCAGATGCTAAGATCCCACCGTTTTCTCTTATTTCCTTTGGGTTTGTTCTTGGAACTCTGATTGTTGCTATGGCAGATTGTAATTTAGACAGATGAAGCAGAGAGAGATGTCAGAGAAAATGGAAATGAGGGGGAGGCTTGTATGGAGAGAAATATTGCGGCTTCTTCTGGCAAAAGAGATTGGGCTTACGAAGGTCCTGCTAATTTGTGAGGACCAGGATCTTTCCCCAGGAACTAATATGCTCATCTGAAAGGAATCAAGATTCTTTTCATGGACATAATGGGTTGTGCTGAAGTCAGACCTCTGCTAGGCTTCTGCATGAATTCTAGGCTGTTTAGTTTAGTGGGTTCAAGGGGAGAGGGGTTCTTCATAGTTTTTAAGCAAAGGCATACTTATAGGAGAGATTTAAGTTTGTTGCCACAAAAAGAAAAGGGAGACAAAACGACTGGTAGCTAAAGAAGAGAATGAGAACCCAAGAACCATTTTGGTTAGCAAAGCAAGCAAGGCTTTAATAGTGTTCTAACGGTTCAAGGTTTTAAAAAGGGAATAAAGAAAAATGAAGCAGAGAGAGGGAGGAGGAGAGAGGGAAAGGTTAAACCAAGACAGAAACTGTGAGTAGATAGATGTGAAAGGGGCTGAAAATAAGTGAAAAGTGAAAAATTACTTTATGAATAAACCGTTAAAAAATAGTGAGTGAAAAAGCAATTGTGCTTCCAGTTATTACTGAATCACAAGCTCGTGGAG